TAGGCAAGAACTATAACCCCAGCCGCCACAAATTGAATTTTGAAGATACTATTTTTAAAATTTTTCTGTACAAGGAATTGAACCTAGAGCCTCTTGCTTGCTACCACTCTACCACTGAACTACTGAGCCACATTCTGAGTCCTATTTATTTTATTTTGGGACAGGGGCTTGCTAAATTGCAGTTTGACTTTGAATTTGTGGTCCTCCTGCCTCAGCCTCCAGAGTTGCTGGAATTATAAGCAAGTAATACTGTACCTGGTTTGAAGATACTTCATTAAGGACAAACTCTTTAACAAAATTCGACTTTGTCCAGGTGTGGTTGTGAGCATCTGTGGTCTCAGCTACTCAGTAGGAGGATGGCTTGAGTCCTGAAGATCCAGGCCAGCCTGGGCAGCATAGGGAGATACTGCTTTAAACAAACAAACAGGGGCTGGGATTGTGGCTCAGTGGTAGAACACTTGCCTCTCATGTGAGAGGCCCTGGATTCTATCCTCATCACCGCATTAAAAATAAATAAATAAAAAATAAAGGTATTGTAAAACAAACATTGTTTCTCTCTCTCTCTTTTTAAAATCCATCCATTAATTAATTAATTTTGTGGTGCTGGGGATTGAACCCAGGGCCTTGTGCATGCAAGGCAAGCACTTTACCAACTGAGCTATATCCCCAACCCTTAAATAAATTATTTTAAAAAAATATATACTTTTTTTTAGTTGTTGATAGACCTTTATTTTATTTATTTATGTGTGGTGCTGAGAATTGAATCCAGTGCCTCACACAAGCCAGGCAAGTGCACTACCGCTGAGCCCCGGCAGCCCCAGCCCCTATTTCTCTATCTTAACTTCTATACTTGTGCCTCTCAGAGTCTAGTCTTATTACATGGAAATCCTCTGCTCTTATTTTCTGCCTGTGTTTATCTAGTTCCAACTGTGAGTTTCTCCTCAGTCTCTACATTTGTGTGTGTGTGTGTGTGTGTGTATGTGGTGCTGGGGATTGAACCCAGTGCCTGAGCTCCTATTTGTTATTCTTCCCCATTGAGCTTCAGTGTTTTAGGACTCTGTGACAGAGATCTCACTTTTTAAATTGATTTCCAGGTCTCCATTATTTCTTTTTTTCTTTCTTCATTTATTTTATAATTTTTTTTAAATTTGTGGGGGCTGGGGCTGGGGCTCAGCGGTAGCACACTTGCCTGGCATGTGTGAGGCACTGGATTCAATTCTCAGCACCGCACATAAATAAATAAAATAAAGGTCTATCAACAACCAAAACAAATATTAATTTTATTTATTTATTTATTTATTTTTGTGGTACTAGGTGTTGAACCCAGGGCTTCACACATACTAGGCAAATGATCTAACCCTGCTTGTTTAGCAGTATTTAAAAAAAAAAAAAAGATCTTGAATTTTGCTTTTGTTCATGTATCTTCTCTGTGGATAATAGAAAGTGTTATTTCTTTCTTCCATTGTTTAGTAAAATAGTAACCTTAATCTGCTCTACATTTATCATACATACTTTTTAAAAATTTTTTTTTTTGGTACTGGGGATTGAACTCAGGGGCACTGTGCCCCTGAGCCACATCCCCAGTTCTTTTTATTTATTTATTTTTAAATACCTACCCCTTTTTATTCTGAGATAGGATCTTGTTAACTTGCCAGAGTTGGCCTCAAATTTCTGATCCTTCTTTTTTAAAATTTTTTTTAGTTGTTGATGAACTTATATATATAAATATGTGGTGCTGAGAATCGAATCCAGTGCCCCACATGTGCTAGGCAAGTGCTCTACCACTGATCTACAATCCCAGCCCCAAATTTCTGATCCTTCTACCTCAGTCTCCCAAATTGCTGGAATTACAGACATGTGAGACCGCACTCAGTGCGCTCTCTCTCTTCATTTCTGTGTTCTTCCTTTCATTCCTTCCAATATTTATTTGTTCTGTTCTTTCCCCTTTCTCCTCTCTGAGAATCTCCTGGTCAGCCCTTTTGCTTCTTATTCTGTCTCAGTGTACATCTCTGATTCTGTCTTGTCCTTCTCTTCCTGCCACTCTCTGCCTATCAGTCACTGTCAGCCTGTGGTTTGCACTATAGTTGTTTGTCCTTTGTCTTTCTGCCTGCCTCCAGTTCAACATATTTCCTGCTCCTCTCTTCTGTCAGTGAGTCTTTCCACTGACTGCCGTCTCTGCCTTCTGCCCTTCTGCCTCCCAGCTCCCCTGACTAATCCCCTCTCTATTTCCAAGTCTCTCCTCCCAATGCTAATCTCTGGATCTGCCACTATCACCTCCATCTCTCCAGAGTCTATTTGTTCTCCTTATCACTCACTCTCACTATTTTTCTGTCTAGACTGGCTGTGCCTTTTACACTTGGAGTTCCTTTCTATCAGCCTTTATTTTATTCTATTCAAATTTCTCTTGTCTTCTTTGTTTGTGGCTAGTTGTGATTTGGGTTCTTCTCAGCCTCTGTAATAACATCTTTTTCTATATTTCTGCTAAGGCGTCTCTCTTGCTTACTCTCAATCTTTCTTTGCTTCTGCCTTCCCTGTGCCTCCTTCTATCCATTCCTATCTCTGTCATCCTCTTTGTCTTTCCTTTAGCTTCTTAACGAACTTTTTTTTTTTGGCAGGGGTGGCCCCTTCCCACTGACAAAATTTGATCATATGTGTTTGCTGGGGATTGAACTCAGGAGCACTTGACCACTGGGCCACATCCCCAGCCTTATTTTGTATTTTATTTAGAGACTGTGTCTCACTGAGTTGCCTAGTGCATTGCTTTTTTTCTGAGGCTGGCTTTGAACTCCTGATCCTCCTGTCTCAGCCTCCAGAGCTGCTGGGATTATAGGTGTGTACCACCATACCCTGCTTGTTTATCAGTACTTAAAAAAAAAATCTTGGGGCTGCGGTTGTGGCTCAGTGGTAGAACACTCACGTCTCATGTGCAAGGCCCTGAGTTCCATCCTCAACACCACATTATAAATAAAAAATAAAGGTATTATGTCCAACTACAACTAAAAAAAAAAATAAATTAAAAAAAATTTCATCTTTTGCTTTTTTTTTTTTTTGAGACAGAGAGAGAGAATTTTTTTAATATTTATTTATTTTTTTTTTAGTTCTGGGCGGACACAACATCTTTGTTTGTATGTGGTGCTGAGGATCGAACCCCGGCCGCACGCATGCCAGGCGAGCACGCTACCGCTTAAGCCACATCCCCAGCCCCATGTCTTTTGCTTTTGTTCATGTATCTTCTCTGTGGATGATAGATAGTATTATTTCTTTCTTCCATTGCTTAGTAAGTTAGTAACCCAGGGCTGAGATTGTAGCTCAGTGGTAGAGTGCTTGCCTTGCACTCATGAGGTCCTGGGTTCAATCCTCAGCACCACATAAAAATAAATAAATAAAAATAAAAAGGATATTGTATCCACCTACTACTAAAATTTTTTTTTTAAATAAAATAATAACCTTAATCTGCTCTACATTTATCATACCTTCTTTTTTTTTTTTTTTTGTACTCGGGATTGAACCCAAGGGCATACTCCTGAGCCACATCCCCAGTTCTTTTTATTTATTTATTTATTTATTAATATTTATTTTTTAGTTGTAGTTGGACAGAATACCTTTATTTTATTTATTTATTTTTATATGGTGCTGAGGATCAAACCCAGGGCCTCACACGTGCTAGGCAAGTGCTGTACCGATGAGCCACAACCTCAGCCCCGCAGTGTTTTTTGTCTTATATTTTGAGACAGAGTCTGCTAAGTTGCTTAGGGCCTCGCTAAATTGTTGAGGCTGATCTCAAGCTTGCAATCCTCCTGCCTCAGCTCCTGAGTCACTGGGATTATGAGCCTGTTCCACTGCTCTTGGCTCAATGTAGATGTTTTGACTGAGAAAGGAGGTGTCTTGTGTCATAGAAAACATATAGCAGGAATATCAGGGAAGGAAGGAAGGAGAGCTCTCAAATGAGATCCAGAAGAGGTCCAGCTATTCTTTTATCCATTTGCAGCCAAGTGGGAACCTCTATCACCTGTTCTGCCCCTGCCCTCATTCTTTCATGAGACCCTGGCCCTGGGAAAGTCCTACAGTAAACACTCAGGTTGGTTAATTGAGTTCCATCTATGGCTCTGGGCTTCAGTGCTATCTTAAGACAGACCTAGCCCATCCCCATTCCTCTAAGAATGTACATTTTCTTTGAAAGATCAGAAGATACAAAATAATTAAAAAGGTTGAACATAGTAGGACTAGGTTAAGCACAAACTCAATACCTGTAGTATGGCTTTGAGAACCAAAAGCATCAGCAGTAATTGCAGTGGCCTGTTATTCTGTCACTTGGCAACTGTAATACCCATTCCTACTGGCAATATCATCTCTTGTGCCCCCTTCCCACTAACAAAATTTGATCACATGAGGTCTCTCTTTCCTCTGGTCCTACCCCCTTCATACCAGATCTTTCTGATTCTAGTGGGACCTCACTTTCCCTCATCTGTCCCTATGCTAGAGTAAAGAGTTTCTGTTTCTATCGGCAATTTCTTCCAGCTTCATGCCTTTTGCCACCTTGTATTGATAGCTCTGGTTGTTCTCTTCAGTTCTTTTTCTGGAAAGGGTGGTATCTGATGATGGAATTCAGTGAACAAGGAGCCCACATTCCCAGCCAGTCACCAACATCAGCATTTCTTCCTGGATCTTAAAGGTGGGGGGGGGGTAGGTAGCCAGGTGCAGTGACACATGCCTGTAGTCCCAGTGACTTGGAAGGCTGAGGCAGGAGAATCACAAGTTCAAAGTCACCCTCAGCAACTTAGCAAGGCCCTAAACATTTTAGTGAAATCCTATCTCAAAATAAGAATTAAAAAGGGCTAGGATGGGCTGGGGATATAGCTCAGTTGGTAGAGAGATTGCCTTGTATGCGCAGGCCCTGGGTTCAATCCCCAGCACCAAAAAAAGGGGGGGGGGCTGGGAATGTGACTCAGTGGTTAAGCACCCAATACAAAACAAAAAAGGGGGCACTAGGGGGAGGTTAGTTAGCTGGAAGAGGACCTGAGATACTGTAGTCCAGTCCTTATCCCCATGGAGAACTGTTCAGTAAAGGTCACCATCTCCTTATCCTGGCCCCATCTCCTGTCTAGGGCTGGTAGAGGAGGAGCCTGCCACTTTCTGTAGACTTTTAGGCTGAGAATGGAATTGTCCCTGGTGACAGGCTCAACATCACATGTTCTAGTCCACCTGGTTTTCTTCAACCCAAGGAAGGGTGGGGCCAAGACCACAGTGATGACTGATCTGGATTCCAACACACAGTGTAATACTTGCAGCAACACAATGACCAGTCCAGTTCCACCAAGGATGACCAGAGCAAGAGGCACCTGACATTGCTGCCAGAGCAACCACAGACTCATCTACCATAGGAATATCAGGTAGAAGAGGGCCACTGGTCACACTGAAGGCTAGGAAGAGGATTTGGTGAGAAAGCAGCAGCAGTTTCTGTAGGTGCAAGCAGGCAGAGTTCAGCTTCAACAGCAGAGACACCACTAAGAAGCCCATGTAGTAATGAGACAGAACAATGGTGCTGAGGCAGCACATTATCTGGGAGAGGCAGCGCATTATCTGGGAGCAGAAGTCTAGGTCAGAGGACCTTCCATGACCGGCACCCATCATGTCCCAATCTCCCAGTCCCTATACAAGGGACTCTAGAGCATTTTGTGAAAGTTCCCCCAAACCTGACCTTTATGCTTTCCTTTGTCATGGGGACTAAACTACCTTGGCTCAGGGGCTGTCTAATCTTGGGGCTTCAGCATCTGTAGAGTACACCCAACTTCCATTCCTGGGCTTTTGTGCCCCATCCCTACACCCTATATCAGAAATATCCATATTCATAGTTTCTGTGATCAGCTGGACACCTTGGAGGGATCCAAGCTTCTTGGGCAGTGTCCAAATTCCAAACTGTGGCCAGAGGTCAATCCCTCCTCCAATTCATCCTAGGATTGGAATGATCAACCCCAGCTAGGGTCAAAGAATTTGTGTGAAGTCAGAGGAAAAAAACTAAAGAGAGGTTCAGAACCCAGGTTGGGCAGGTCTCTCTTCTTGTCTGGACTCTGAGTCCTCCCACCAAATGGTGACAAAGAAGATCCTAGGCCTGACCGAGGTCTGGTTCCACAGCATGTAAGTTCCATTGGCCAGGAAGTAACCTATGGAAGGTGGGAGAAGGGGACCTGAAATTCCCACTCAAAATTTGCCCTTCACTGGCCCAGTCTTCCTTGCAGATCCACTGACATTGACCCCAGCAGCAGGACTCAGGGCCGGTGGCCATGAATCCAGTTGGCGGTCCTGAGAGAAATGGGGGAGCCAAGGCCAGACTATCTGAGACCCCGACCCATTCTCAGATTGGGTACTGCCCTCCCACCTATTCATGTCCCCACTCCAGTCTCAGACTTTGAAGCAGTCTCCACTCAGTTCTGAAGGTACTCTCCCGGTCTTCTAGCCTCAGCTTTCCCTGCTCATCCTCATTCCTGTGCCTCTCGAATCCCTGGGGCCCAGCACCGGAGCAGCACCCCGGTCCCGGTCCCGGTGAGCAGGCTGTGCATCGGCGAGACTACAGATGTACCGCCACTTCCAGCGGTTCTGTGCAGCAGATCCCGGCATGGGCAGCAACTGCAGCCCCCAGTGCAGCCCCCGGAAGGCGGCAAAGGAGGCTCCAGTCAGGAGAAATCCCGAAGGCGCCATGGCTCCCTGGGTCAACTAGATCCGGAGGGGTTCCTGTGGCCCCTGTGCCCTCCTGCAGGACGCCGCCAAGACACCCCGCGGGATGGGTGGTCTGGCTTCCTGACAGGGCCAGGATGCGGGGCTCCCTTGCTGTCCCCGCCCTCCGCATCTGCTATAACTTTCCTCGGCTTGTCCACGCCCCGATTCCTCCGCCTGGCGCTGATTGGAGCAGCCGTGGGGCCACCGCCCTAGGAGCCACGGCAACGGATCGCGTCCTGCATCAGCCTGGGGCGAGCGATTTGGGGTCTTCTGGGTACTAAGCAGGGCAACCGAGTTCAGAGAGACTGCCAGGATGTAAATAGCGGGTTGTTTTTTTTTTTTTTTCAACTCCTCGTGTCCTGAATCCCTCCAAGTTTCAGAAATGGGTTCCTAATTTTACCTCACATTCCCGAGGGCCCCGCCCCACTAACTCTCACCTTCTCTTCCCTGTTGCCTCATCTTTCACCTACTGTTACCCCTCCCCACGCACCCCTCACAGACATGAAGGTGAGGCAAGTGCAACCCAGCACTAGGGCCCAACGCGGTCCCCAGTACGGACTCATCTTTCCCTCCCGGTGTTAGTTGTGGGAATGCTACTCCTCAATTCCTTGGAGCCACCCTTCTGCTTCCCAAGGTTTCCAGAACTTTGACACATCCCAGCACTTGTTAATTACAGGAGTCCTGCCCCCTTACATAGCTTCCGAAAAGGAACAACAGCCCCCATTTTGGAGAAGTAACCCACTGGGGACCCTAGCCTCTTTTTATCCCCCCCCCCTTTTTTTTTTTAGGAAGGCGGGGTGGAAAAGGGAAGCCTCACCAAGGCAGTCATGAGAACTACTTCCTTTCTCAAGGCTTGGTATCTTTTGGATAGGCAGGAGAATCTCTTCCAATCAGAGGACAAGGGAAGGTAACAGGTTCATGTCAGGTTGGTGCAGAATCAAAATAAAAAGTGGTGTTTTCAGCAGCAGGATTGTTAGGATCCTAGAACCCCGTGTGTGTTACTGGGAATTGAACCCAGAGCCTCACAAGCAACAGGCAAGGGGCTGTAAGACTGAGCTACATGCCCAGTCCAGAAGTCTTAAGAAGAAAACCCTTCCCAATCCCTCAGCTCTTGGAGAGCGACAGTTTTTTTTTTTGTTTGTTTGTTTTACTATTTTTCCTTCCTACTCCTCTCCACACCTTTTTAGCTGGCTAAGAGCCAGCAAGTCAGAAAGCTGCTTTCTGTATGCTGAGGGCCAGTCCTGAAAAGTTAAGTTCACAGGGTTGCAGGAGACCCTGGGTTTGATCCCCAGTTACTCCCCCCAAAAAAGAATGAAGTTCATAAACCAATAGGTGCCCCATCCAAATATTTTCACCTGGGAACATCTCCTCCTTCTTCTACACCATCTTATCCAAAGGTTTAAAAAAATCAGTGATTTTTTTACATTTTTTTTATTATACGGAAGCAATATACAATGTAGAAAATTTGGAAATTACAGAAAAACCAAAGATGAAAATTACATTTATTCCAACATTCAAGTTAACCATTATTAACATCTGAGTATATCTTCAGTCTGTTTTCTATATATACAAGCATACACCCATTACAACAAAATTGTGTGTGGGTGGGTGTGTGTGGTATTGGGTATCAAATACAGAGCCTTGTGCACACTAGGCAAATATTCTACCACTGAGCTACATCCCCACCCCTACAACCATATTTTAACAACAAAATTGGTTTTAAAATGAAACTGTCACATACACTATTTTTGTAACCTCTTTAATATTCAAAGAGCATTTTTCTTTCCAGTCAAAATGTTCTTGTACATGACTTTTAATGGTTGCACAGTACTCCACCATCTGGACAGATATAGAATAATTTACTTAAGAAATCCCCTATTGCAAATTTTCATTACAGCAGAAAAGGAATGAATTCCCAAACAGTTGCTTTCCATTTTTCTTTAGGCCTGGAATGAACGAACATTTTATAACTAAATCTTTAATTATTTTCTTAAGAGAGTCCCAAATGTCGAATTACTGGTTTAAAAGACATAAAACTTTTTAGGGTGTTTAATACATATTATCAAACTTCCATCCAGAAAGACTATACCAATTTATACTCCCACATGCAATGTATAAGAGTTCTTTGGCCAATATTGCATCTTATTTATTATGCTAAGGGGAAAATGCTTTCAGTGATTTTTTCCCTCCTTAATTATTGTTATAAAACCATTTTTTTCATGATCTTATACATTTGAATTCCTTTTATGAATTTCCTGTGTATGTCCTTTCACAGCTGCCTCATGCTCCTTGAGGCTGCTTATATAAAAATCACAGGCTGGGAAAGAGCTGGAAGAAGGCAGGTGAAACCATGGGACTGAAGAACAATGGTGAGTGAAGTAGGAGATGGCTGGAAGCTTGTCCTTGGTGGAGGCTGGCTGTTCTCCCTCCTCCTGGGGAACTCCAGTCCTTGATGGGCCCCACTGCTGGCTGCCCAGATCCAGCCCAGTGCTCTCCAGGTCTGGTCATTCACTGGTCTTCTGCCTGCCTCTGTGTTTTCAGGCTGCCCTTCCTCACCTCTGCTCTGTGATGGGTGAACATGGCAGAGCTATATGCTCAGAGCTGGATGGACACACTGTGGCCAGTGAAGTGAGGAGGGGAAGAAAGGGTGGAAGCAATGTCCAGGGACAGAGCAATCTTTGTTGCAGCCTCTGAGTAGACTCAGTCTACCCACCCTCCTTTACCACAGTCCTACACATCCTGCCCCTCCGTTAAGGCTACAGAGGAGCTGGGTTCAATGATCTTCTCTCCCCTGTGACTTTCAGTTTCTCATAAATGGAGAATAGGATCGAGCCCCCCTGCACATCTCCTCTCACCAAACAGATCAAACAGCTTCTTGTAACCCCAGAACTACCGCTTGGGTAGTTCTGTCAGGGAGACTGGTCCAAGGCTGAATCACACCAGAACCCCAGCCCAAGCCCACAAGTGAGAATGAACGAGGAGCTAGAGGTGGTGGGTTTACACTGTCTGACATCCAAAAGGGGGTCACATCCCACAACCCATCTTCCCCGGTTGTACAAGCCGGAGCTTAGTGTCTGTCAGTCACTACCCTGGAAAGCAAAGTGAGAGAAGCAGCAGTAGAACCCCATTGGCTGTTGGGTGGCAGGGGAAGCCTTAGGTCAAGCTTGCATGGTGGGAAGTCAAATATAAAGACTGAGCTCTTACTAAGCCCCTCGATCTACCTCCCCACCCCCCAACACCTGGGATTGTAATCAGGAATGGGGGAGGGAGAATTTATGTGAAAAGCTGTTTTGTTCCCACCCACAGGGGAAGGAGAGCCCAGGCTGAGTCAGCACAGGTGGGTTTCTAATGCCCTCCTACGTACTCATCTGTGGGATTCCCCATCTCCAGGTGGAGAAACAGGTGTCCCAAAGAGGTAAGTATCCCTAAATCTAGAATCTAGACCAGTCTAAGAAAACACAGGGAAAAGAGCAGAGGGATGACTTATAGAGGTCAGAGTTTTACTATCACCTTTCCCTAAAGAGTAAACTCACTTTTGGAAAGGCCAGTAGGGAAGATTGGGAGATAAGGAAAGTAGGTGAAGGAGGAAATCTGGGTCCAGGTGTACAGAGTTTCCTTCTCTCCATTTCTTCCCATTGCCACACAAAGACCAACTAACCTTGGAGAGTTTGAGCCACTTATTCCCCAATTCAGCCAGCATCTCTATCTAAAGCTGCTCCTTTGCTGGGACAATCTGGGTGAAGGTTCTCTGAGTAGGGTTTTCTTTCCTCCCCAAAGCTATTATCACCCCTGCAGTTAAGATCTTCCCAGCCCCAGTTCTGTCACCTTCCAGATGATAGAGAAAGCAGATCCTTCTCCTCTTCCTCCTTGAAGCCAGGGGCAGAGGGCAACAGTTCTTCAACTGGCAGCTTTAGCTGGGTCAGGACATAAAGCTTGCCACTGAAGAACTACTGCGGCTCAGCCAGGTGAGGATGTGGGAGGCACAAGCTCCTATAAGGAAAGGGAAGAAAAATGGGAAAGCTCTAAGCAGGGCTGTGTCACAGGGACACCATCCCACTGGCCATCAAAACCCAGCTCCAGCAGACCTTCAGCCTTCTAATGAGGGGGTTCATGGCTGGGACCTGGGACTGAAGGAGCTCTAAACTTCAGTGACAGATAGCTACAAAGAGACTTCCTTTGCTCCTCTTTACAGACCAGAGCTACAGAAACTCTTAGCAATCCACTGGGCACTTCAGCCTCTCCAGCATTCAGAGAGGGCAGGGCCTAGGACCCAGGACACACCCCATCAGCCACTCAGATACCAGGTGAGAAGTTGTACCTCAGGTCCAGAAATGTGAGTTCAGTGATCAACCCAACTGACTTATTCCTAGAGAATTCAGCTGGAAGAGAGTTTGGGGGGCCTAGACTGGGGAAGAGTGAGGAAGGGAAGAGATCTAGTGTTTGGAAGAAGGTCAGCAGAGGCTCCCAGACTGTAAGGGAGAGGACAGTGGACCTAAGCCTGGAGGGGAGGGAAGTATGGGCAGGGTGGCTGGGCAGCTTCCTCAGGACTCTCAGATGCCAGGCATTCCGCTTGCACATTCCGGGTACATCTGGTATGAATTCCAGGCTGTCTGCCGGCCCCTCCATGTCTGAACTTTGTTCCAAGTTCCAAGCCCCGCCCCCACAGTTCCAACGCATGAATCAGCAGGAAAAGCCGGGCCCTGCAGCATGGCCCAGGGAGGGGGCTGGGGGCGTGGCAGGTTGGGGACTGTGAGCTGGGGAGGGCGGGTCTGCAGTGACACTCTGTCCAAGGGCATGGCCCATGCCAGACTGAGAGGCCAAGGCGATTTTGCTTTGGGATTTCTATACTAAGAGAGTGGAAAGATTAGGGTGGGGGTGGGGGTTTTCAAATTCCAAAAACCTCTTGAGAGGCATGAACTTTATGGTATCTTCCTTCTCTTAGGTGACCATCCAACTCTGTCCAACTCCTCTGTATGAAATGG